TTTTCTGAAAATTTTGAAATCGCCGGAACGGTCGCCGGAGAAGTCGCCGGAGCAGTGGCCGGACCGGTGCCGGAGATGGAGGGAAATGGTGTAGTGAGGAGATGGGGTGGATAAGGTGTCATGGGGTGGTGTAAATAATTAATATATATTATATTATAATTTAATATTTAATAAATTTATTTAGCACCTGATTTTTAAAATATTTTAAGAAGTTTGTTATTTATTAAATGTGAACTTTAAAAATAGGAACTATGTATTGTTCCCCCTATTTACCCCATTTGGGAAATAAATAGTAAGAAAAGAGAAAAAAATAGAAAATAGATTCGAAAATGTCACAGAGATAAAAATTTAAGGTGTGTTTGATTGCGGGTATAGAATTTACATGAAAAGAAAATAAATTTTAAATAATTCAATTGTCAAAAACTTATTTGTATGAAAATTATTAATTAAATATGTTTAATTGATTTAGATTTCAATCTAAAACATATTATACTAATCTATTTTTAATGGTGGGTAGATGAGAGCGGGATAGATGAGAGAGAAAAAGAGAGAGTGGCCAATTTTGAAGAAAATAGATGTTTTCTTTGTTTTTGAAGAAAATATTATTATATGACCAAAAATTGAAAAAAATTGTCGATCAAACCTCCCAAAAGTATGAATTTTGGTGGAAAAATAACATTTTTCACAAAAAGTAAAGTGAATCAAATACAAATTTGATTCGTGTGTAATGGGCCTGACCTAAAATATAAAAGTGGAAATTACATCCTACCAGAATTTTAAATTTTTCATTTCAAATTTAAGATTTACAAGTTTTTTTTTTCAAAAATCAAATGATAATTAAAATGTTAAATATTAATAATTATATTACATTGTTATTACAAAAATTAAATTAATCTATATACCCAACCCATCTACCCCACCGATTTCAAAACCCTAAGGGGGCGTTCTCTTTGTATTTCAGTTTTGTGTTTTGAGTTTTGAATTCGTTTTGTGTTTTGAGTGTCTGTTTTGAAATTGTTGAAAATGCGTTCTCTTTGTCATTCTGAAAAACTGTTTCTCAAAATAGAAAACTTGAAAACGCGTTTACTTTGAAGTTTTGATAATATATTTTTTATAATATTTTATTCAATAAATCTGATTATTCAATAAATTTTAATAGTTTAATGTTAATCGATTGAAGAAAAATATTAATGAGGTAACATTGCTAAAATTCTCTCGTCTAATNATTTTATCAACTTCAATAGAAGAAACACAAAAAACTAAAAACAAGAAGACTGTTTATCAATTATTGAAGAAAGAATTAAATAAAACCATACAAAACACAATCATCTTCGTTTTTTCAGATAATCAACCAATGTTTCGAAATTCTGAAAAGAAGTTCCTGACTGAGTAACACTCCTAAGAGCCACTTCCATCAATTTCAAAGCATTGGCTTTAATACTGTTGTCAGAAAACACCATTTCTATTTTTGTATTAGTTTCTTGCCTTGATATGAGTCCTCATCCGGGTTCAGTCTCAAACCAATCTTCCACATATCACAAATGTAATTCTGGTTATGAAATTGATCTAAAAAGTAAGGCCAACACAAGAAAGGGACACCCATGCTTATGCCCTCCATAGTTGAGTTCCACCCACAATGGCTTAAGAAACAACCGACAGAAGAATGACCCAACACTTTCTTGAGGTGCCCATTCGACAATTTTCCCCTTTGCTCAAAGTCTTTTGGGATGACAAAGTTTGATCCAAAAACCCATAGAAAGGGTCGACCACAAAGTTCAAGAGCCAAAGCCAGTTCTTGAAATTGTTCCTGAGACAAAACAGCTGGGAGGCGTCGGGAATTTGGAAGTCGACCGGCATCGAAAATGTCGCTTGCAGAGGCTAGGAGATGTAGGTTTAGGGGGAGAAATGAAAACCAGAGGAAGAACAAGGTTGGGGAATGGGAACAGGAACAGGGAGAGAAAGGTTGAAATTGGGCGTTTCCCGTGTTTTCTACAAGTAACGTGTTTTGCACTGAAAACATCCAAAAATGAGAAAGAGAACGTGGTTTTGGATGCTTTCTGTTTTCAATTCAATTTTTTTTTTCAAAAAATCGTTTTCAAAAATGAGAAAGAGAACGTGTTTTCAGTATTTTAGAAAATCGAAAATCGAAAACAGTCTGAAAACAGCAAAGAGAACGTGGCCTAAACATTTTTTATTTCTTTTCTCTACCTTCTCTATTTACTCTCTATCCTCTCTCTACCTTCTCTCTATTGGTGAGCAACGATGGCACTCTCTCCCTCTCTCGATTTTCACTCTCTACGGGCGGGACTCTCTCTCCCTACCCCGATTATCAAAACAACGAAGTGACAGTGAACACAGCATCATCGTAACGTCCATTTGCAGAAGAGTTGCGCTATCGCGAATGGCAGCTATGCCTGGAAATTAGCCTGGTTTATTCATCTTTTCATGCGCATTAGAAACTAGATTTGGTAGTTGTATTGGGTGGTGTGGGTAGCGTAACGGTGGTTTCCTAGTTGTGGCGATTGGTTGGTGGCGTCGGCGCCATGGCTGTGGTGATTGAATGGTTTTATACGATTAACTTATGGTGGTGGCGGTGCACAGGCGGTTGGTGATTCACGGTAGCAGTCTGGCCGTGAAATGATGGGTGTTTAGCCGGATCTAGTGGCGATCTACAGTAGTAACGATCTGGCCGTGAATGATGGGTGTTTAGGCGGATTTGGTGGCGTCTTGATGGTAAGAAGAGGTTGTGGGTGGCGGTGGTGCAATGGTTAGGTGAGTTCTGCGATGTTGTGGGTGTGGCGGTGGCGGTTCTATGATGTTGTGGGTGAGGCGGTAGTGCGGTGAGTTCTGTGATGTTGTAGGTGTGGCAGTGGTGGTTCTAGTGTGTGGTTCACGGCAGCAATCTGGTCGTGAAATGAAGGGGGTTTGGCCGGATCTGGTGGCGATCTGCAGTTGCGACGATCTGGCCGTGAATGATGGGGGTTTAGCCGATCTGGTGGCGTCGCGATGGTAAGAAGGGGTTAGGGATGGCAGTGGTATGATGGTTGGGTGAGTTATACGATGTTGTGGGTGTGGCGGTGGTGGTTCTGTGATGTTGTGGGTGGGGCGGTGGTGCGGTGAGTTCTGTGATGCTGTGGGTGTGGCGGCGGTGATTATGGCGTGTGGCAGTATTGGTGGCATTGCTGCTAATAACAGTTGTGAGGTGGTGGTCACAAGTGTTTGTGGTGATCACAAATGATTTACTTGGTTGTGACCTTTAAATTGGGTAACTTGTGACCAATCAACAATATGTGTTGGTGGTAGTCACAAATGATTTGCTTGGCTCGAGCGATAAGACTCTCTACTTTTGACGTTTTATCAACGCAATGGCGATAGCAAAAATTGCGACTCTTAACAAATGTTGCTGAGTTTTGAGGCATGTCTTTTCACTTAAAGTCTCTCATCCTCTATAAATTAGACTCTTGAGACGTCCTTTACTTCATCCCAATGATATGCAATCATAGTATAACATAACAATTCATATTTCCTTATCCAAAACTCTATATAAAAAAATATTTTCATTTCATTTGAAAGGAGTACAAAAGTCATATTTTGGTTCGTTGTTCTTGTGTTTTAGAGTGTTATAAACACAAGAATGTAGTCTTTGTATCTTAAAAGTTGATTGCTATCATCTGTAAGTATCGTTACTGGACAAATTCGATTTAAGGACAAATAGTTCAACTCTTACTTCGACTTTATATTTATTTTCTTGGTATTACTTTGTCCATTTCATTGGCATTTTAATATCATTTATGTTGTGTTTATTCTTCAATTTCTTGTCGTTAGTCTGTCTATTTTTTGTAAGATTGATAAGTTTGATTTTAAAATCACCACTCAAATCCATTTTACAAACAATAGAAATTACGTTTAGTTTGCCATTTTGATAATTATTTCTCAAAACAGAAAACTGGATAACAAAATTCTGTTTTGAGTGTCTGTTTTAATATTGTAGAAATTGCATTTGATTTGTCATTTTGGTAATTATTTCTTAAAATAGAAAACTTGATAACAAGTTTGGTTTGAAATTTTTAGAAATTATTTTATGAATTTTTTTTTAAGAGCTTGCTATAAAAGTGTTACACATTTCTTCTTCCTTCTTCCCATTTTTCTGATCTTATTTAATGTACCAAGTTCCCGTGTAATCTAGAAATCTCCTTTGCAATGTTGCCAGCATTAACCCACCAAAAGGAATTTCCTATAGAGAGAAAACCCATTTTCTGAAAACCATATATTGTTACAACCAACCACATAAATAAAATTAAGAAAAAAATTAACCAAAAAGCAGAACCTCCAATTCTTCAGACGAAGAGAAAAAACATCATATGCATAAACTCATAATTAGTTGATCGTGAGGAGTAAGATTTTGTCAACTTCATGATGGAAAACAACGACGTGTGAGTTGCTATTGAAGATCGAGGGGTGGTGGTGGCACGATGAGAGTGAGACGAATTTGTTTTTAGAATAAGAAGGTCATCCTTGAAGCAAATTAAGGCCCCGTTCGGTATGGATTAAAATCCAATTAAAATTGAAAATATGGTCGTTATTGGGTCCCATTCGTCTAATAAAAGTCAACAATAACGGGTATTTTTTTAATTTTAATCTGATTTTAATCCCTACCGAATGGGCCCTAAATCTGAATATGAATCCGTGATTCCTTAGCACCTATGTATCGTTGCACGAAGAAAACACATTATTTGTGTCTTTACTTGTTTCCTAGGAGAGGAGAATTGTTGAGAGGATGACGAGGAAGGGGATTGTCAAAATTGAAGATTTTGGAATCATCGTTGTTAATGATTGAAAAATATTGAGAGTTGAATTTTGTTTTATTTTGCTTTATTGTCAAAGAGTTTTGAAAGTGGAGTAAAATTGGCAGGTAAATGATTATCTTGTTTTGAGTTTTATATTCTTAACTTAATCTTATCTTCAAAAATGAGTTTTAAAAAATATCAAAATGAACAAGTTTTGGGTGTTTTATAACTGCATATAGCAAATCGAACATCCTCTCTTAAGAAAAAGAACAAAAAGAGAGAAAAAAATCGAAAAAATTGTCTCCTACNTTTAAAGTCATCCAAGAGGTAATATATATGGATCATGAGCAACATTAATTGTTTAAGTTACTTCCAACGATCCACGTTCAAGGACGGATGGAGGGAGGGCTGGGCAGGGCTACAGCCTCCCCCCTCCCTCTCCCAACTGATTTTTTTTTTTTTTTTAAGTTAAAAAAAAAAATTATGTAAAAAAAAAAAAAAAACAATCATGTGTAATTTTTTTTTCTTTTACGTATTAGCCTGTCCTGTAATCCGATTTTGGATCCGTCCCTGTCCCTACCCACAAACTACACAAATAGGAGGTTTTCTGTCACCACCATTAGCTTAGGTTTCCATTGAGTAGGGGCAATACTCAAGTATGAATTCTTTTACACATTCTTTTGTAAAATAATATTACACGTAAATTAAAAATATATATATATTTTTTAACCACTCATTCTCTAAAAAGCTCACTACTTCAAAATATATTTTCACACAAAATCTCATTTTTTTGAAATCCAAACAAGAGCTTAATCAAACATGTGATTGGCCTTTACAAATTTTGTAACATCACATTTTTCTTACTCGCAATTATCATGTCTATTTAAATTAATTGCATTAATGCTATTTTTTCGTGACTAATTATGTTGTTGCAGTAGAATGTAACTCGGATACCCTGAACGAGCAACGTGCCTAGTTGTTCTAAATTAAACATAAATATAGTTTCGTTAAATTTATAATATTGTTATATGATATTTTATTACACTTTATGCTTATAATTAGACTTCCAATCTAAACTTGTTATGGTAATCAATCATTTTTTTAATATTGTTATTGATTATAATTAAGCTAATTGACAATGAAATTTGGTTGATGGAGTCAAATGAGATGTTTTTAATGGTTTGTTGGCACAAAATGGGTAAATTAATAGGTGGGTCAAGTAATGTCTTCCTATGATCTATCAAAATAGCATAATTATTATCGTAAAAGCCAATTTTATAATTAATCATTTTTAATTCCTCAAAGCCAAGTTTTACAAATTTATTTCTGTAATTTACTTGAATTTATAATTTGCTCTTTTGCCTGTGTAGTTATTGTTTATTAATCAACCCCTTAAATGAATAATTATTTCCTAGTAGTTAATTTTTAACTTCCATTTTTGTTCCTAAATCCACTTCAACGATGTCAATGTATAATTGGATTCTTATATATAATTGTCGATGTACAAAAAGTGTAGCCCAAATCGAATAGCCCAAGGGATGAAGTCCAGTTAGAAAGATCAGGATGAAGTCACAAATAGAAACATTAACAAATGCAGTGGAGGCCCACGAACAAGGTACCATCATCGCCCAAATTTGCAAAATGCCCAAGATCTAAAAGAATGAAGTGTCTTAAGATCGCTCAGAGCGAACGAGCCTATTCTCGCCCAAACCTTCAAATCACCTAGGATCTTAGCAAATATAAGGTATTATGGTTATCCAGAACAGCAGTTACTAAAACAGTTATTGAGCAATCTCATCATACTCCACGACCCAAGGATCCTCGTTGTAGGCAGTTGAACGATAAGAGCAATGCCAATAGTTTGAGACGGCAGTTCCACGACAAATCAGCAATCATGAAGAAAATTGGTAGTTATAGAGCAACCAAACAGTTTGTCATGAAGAAATTCCCAAAGAAGTATAAAAAGAAAAGAAGACATAGAGAAGAGAACCCCGAATCAAACACTCTCAAATAGAGAATATGTAATTTCAATTTTTTAGATTAACTTTAATTATCCATTTTCAGTACTCGTGTGCTTGCGTCGTTTAAAGGTTCTTAGATTAACTTTAAATTATCCCTTTCAGTACTCGTGTGCTTGCGCCCCTTGGAGGCATTCTGTTTATTTTCAATTGTAACTTTCATTAATAAAGCACCCATTTTTGGGACTTTGTCTCAAGGGATTTGTTCCTTATATAATCATCTAATCCTTTTTTAATTGTTAGCAACAATCCGCGCGAAATAATTTGGCACGCCCAGTGGGACATTGATGTTTGGTATTGAAGATATAAAAAGTCAAGCATTCTGATAAGGAACTAGCAAGTCAGGGAGCAGTCCATTCTGTAATCGAGCAATGTGAGGTGCTGCAAAACTCTCCACGGACAGAGGGACGGAGTCAAAGAAGTCACAGTCGTTACGAACCAATGACAGAATTGAGTTCTCGAACCATGCTTGCATTGCTTGGGGAACTCACACAGGATGTTGTTGAACAGGTAAATTTACGAAATATTCATAATATGAAAAGATTTACTCAAAGTGGGAATGCACATTATGACAAAATGACCAAATATCTGAATACATTAAATGAAATAATGAACAAGCTAGTAGGCCAAATGTGTCAGTCAGTTATGCCTATTGCAAACTACTTTCAAATCAGGACAATTGTGGGGTATAATTCACCACATAATTCTCCTGGTTTGAACTTAAATCAAGGATTAGAACCACCCTTTGGTCCGTCTACTTCAAAATAAAGGATAATGGAACGCCAAACTTGAATGGTGGTAATGTGATTACAAACTTGAGGGGTAATCCAAATATAAAAGACAATGTCCTGAATGATGGACAGAACGTCCGTGCATTAATGATGGTTATAGAGTAACCAAGCAGTTTCCAAATAGTTTGTCATGAAGAAATTTTCAAGGAAGTATAAAAAGAAGAGAATACATAGAGAAGATGACCTCGAATCAAACACTCTCAAACAGAGAATATGTAATTTCAATCTTTTAGATTAACTTTAAATTTTCCATTTTCAGTACTCGTGTGCTTGCACCCCTTGAAGACATTCTGTTTATTTTCAATTGTAACTTTCATCAATAAAGCACCAATTTTTGAGACTTTGTCTCAAGAAGTTTGTCCCTTACACAATTGTCTGATCCATTTTTTAATTGTTAGCGACAATCCGCGAGAAACAATAAGTAATGCTCACAAGTTATGTGCAAATAAAATGTAATCATTAGTTATTAAAATTGACTCTAACTTTTCTTGTGCAAAATTGTTTCTAAAATAGGATTTAATCATTTGTGCGGTATGAATGCTACACTTGAAATTATAAATGGTTCAACCTTAATTCTATAGAAATTGGTATTTGATATAGCAGTTGTGTTTACCATAATTCCCATGACCAATTAGTATTGTTTACTACATTAATAGTAGATTTGCATTAATGATCTATGTGTCACCAGAAAGTGACCTTGAAGGTTGTTAATTACAGTTAATTCATGTAGTTCATTTTGTACACCTTTAGATTTATACATGTTGATGTATCTTCCTAACTATTCAAAATAGATATTAATAAATAAAGAATTGAGCATATTAAAATTCCTTGGTAAGTTGTAATGACTTGGGATTTTGGTACGTTGATCTCGTTGGCGGTTAGGGACATCTCCTCTTGATATCTAATTAAAAGTATATTGTTAAGGATTTCAGGTAAGTTAGGGATGGATCTAGGACCGGATTGCAGGCTGGACTAATACATAAAAAAAAAAATTTGCACATGATTTTTTTTTCTAGCTAAAAAAAAAAAACTATGCCGAGTGTTTTATTACGAGGTGTATGCTATGCCATGAAAAGTGTGAGTAAGAAATGGGGTGTGGGGGACCGACGTTCACGATCAATGTTCAATGATAATGTTAATGTTAACTAGTTTGCGGTACTATCAGTAGGACTCGACCGAGTTCCAAATAATAATTTCTCACTACATTCTGATTGGTTAAACGATAGACTAAGTGAACTAACGATATTAATGTTAAGTTTTTAAGAAAATAAAAGAAAAGGTGATACATAATAATAATAATAATAATAATAATAATAATAATAATAATAATAATAA